ATTCTTGGGATATCTTAATCAATTGATGATTACAATTTAAATAGAAAAGTATGGATTTATTCATAAACGCAATTATTAATATATTTGTGGAGAACCAAGGAATAACGAGAATTTGAGGAAAGTCACAATATTGGAAGACGAAGTTAAAGAGGACATACAAACAATGAAGAATGGATAATCAGTAGGACCAGGGAACATCCAAGGTGGACTAATTATGTAAGGAGACAACTTGTTAAGTCACAGACTAACGAGTTTAATGAACAAATCTTGTGAACAAATAAAGATACCAACTGAATGGAAGAGTTCATACATGGTTTTAATATTTAAGGAAGATAGTAACCGTGATCTAAAACGTTGTACAGGTTTCAGCACATCAAGCACCTTGAGTCGTTAGTTCGGAAAAATCCTGCAAGAGAAGTTTATTGAGGGCATAGATGATAAAATTGGCGACGACCAGAAGGAATTCATACCGGGAAGATCTTGTACGGACTACTTGTATATAATACAACAATTAATGGAGAAAGTAATACAGATAGGATAAGAACCACAACTAGAATTTATTTCATGCATGCATTTTAACCATAAAAAACAGAAGTTTAGTAGTTAATTTGTACGCGAAATGTACTGAAAGTACTAATTAAGGTCGTTATCGTAATTAAACAAGTTAATAATGTCAAATACCTCAGTGCAATTAATTAGAAGTAGATTCCTACAAAGTAAGAAACTTGTATTATGCCCAAATTCAATATGACGGAATAAAAGTATATCAAACCGATGCAAGAAAGGAACGGGAAATGAAAACATCAGGAAAAAGTTTAATGCTGCAGAAATGGATTACCTGAGAAGAAGAGCCTGAGTATCAAAATTGGATAGACATAGAAATGATAAGATAAGAAATTGAATGGATGCGGAAACAACAGTGCTTGACAGAATAGAAAGGAATGGTTTAATTTGGTTTGGTCACATAGTGAAGATGCCAGAGCATAGATGGGATCCACCGGGCAAAAAGAAAGATGGTGATATAAGAAGAGCAATGGAGATAGGAACTTTGGAAGAGAAGTACACAATGGACAAAAGGTGTATGGAGGCAGAACACGGGCATACAAAATCTAGTAATATAGTGTATTGTATGTTATAATATATACCTGTATAAGCATCGTATATCCCAAATAAATAATGATTATCAAACCTACTAAAATCGATTTAAAATTAAATGAGGATCTTAAAATATAAAATATATTTCAGTTTGATTTTCCAATATAGAAGACTTTAATCGGCGGTTTCTGTGTTTGAAACTTTGCTTAAGTCTGTTATTGATAGTGTGTGTTGTAAACTGTTGGTCTTGGGACTCTCGTGTACGAAGAGAAACACCAGAGATGTACGACAGGTACTGAGACCGACGGCTTAACGTCCCCTCTGAAGGACTGGGGGCGGACTCTCCGGAAAATGTGCTCATCCGTACGCAAGCCAAATGGCGAAACAATCCTGGATGGCCGAACTACTGTTCCATCCGGGGAACGTGAGAAGTGGTCTGTAATTCGAAGATGGACCTGAGGGGAGAGATCATGGTAGTACTTTGGAGGGAATGTGATAAATCGTTACAACTTGATACACGAGAATCTTCAGTTGATTTCAACTGAGGAAGTTAACGGCTACGCCTTGGTACAAACTTGATGATGATGACACAGAAAATCTTTTCGGTTCATAGGTACATTCCAGGTATTTTCTAGATTTTAGTGGAACTTGTACCATTCTGTGAGCATTCCCGCCAAATCTACTCCTCCCATATGTTTATATAAAATTTTATTATTTTGCGGACTTATTCCATCTTTTCACATTTCCTAAGGGATTGATACCAACAAATATGTTTCTCAAAATAATCATCTTAATATCAACCCATTTAACCATTATAACTTTGTTACTTCCATGAAAATCAATTTGCATCTTTACTTTTACATATACCAACAATTTAAAAAAGATAGTGTAAAGATTTTCAAAATTTTTACTGAAATGAAAACTCTCAGGCATAACCAGAAACTCATGTACCATAATAAAGCCGTCGTCGCTTATGGACGAGAAGCTACTTCAATATAACAACTAAACAGTTTTCAACGTTGTCAGGTCTAGCTAAGCTGAGATTGTCTGCGGCCGAGGTACAATATTGACATCATATTGATACAAAATCTGAATAGCTTTTAACGATGTCAATTAATTAAGCCGAGGTTGCGCACCGAGACTTAAAACTTGTAAGAATGATAATTAAAATGTACAAAACAACTCGCAATCAAGTGAGACACCTTATCCACCACTATTTGTAACATTCGCTAATGACATAGTTATAGACGCGAAGTCAGAAGATAAACCCAATAGAAGCCTTTACAACTGGAACAATATATTCACTATAAACGGGATAAAGATGAGTGAGAAAAAAAAACAAAAGTAGTGATAATATTAAAAGACAACGAAACATTAACGTACAACTAGATAGAACAAGTAAATCATATACAATGTTTAAACACAATATTTGAAGATTATGGAAAACAGCAAACTGAAATTAACAAACGAATGGAAACAGCTAACCGAATCTACTACAGCTTAAGCAAGAAATTCCTGTACATGAAAAAGGTGTCAAGCATCTAAAATACGCGTATATAAAACACCATATAAGCCAATTTTGACTTAGGGCTCTGACATGTTTAGTACACATATCACAAAGAGAACAGCAGAAGAATAACATAGAAGCAGTAGAAATGAAATACCTACGAAAAGTCCTTGGAGTTAGGAAGTTAGATAAAATCGGCAATGAATCCGTTGGAAGCCAATGTATAAGTATCTAATAAAGCAACTGCAACCTATTAACTTAAAGGATTGAACTAGACTAATAAAGGACTGGGCATAAACGGCAAATACAGAAAAGTGGGATTAAAAACGAATTTAAATAAAACGAAAGTTATGTTGAATGAAGTCCACAAAATATTCGTCATCGAAGTACAAAAAGGATCAAATATTTAGGACAAAAGATAAGTAACATAAAATAATAATAATTGTATGTATTGTACGTTATTTGATTATAACCTTCATTTAACAAACCAAAAACTTGTCAAAAAACATGAATTCTCTAAAGCAATTATTAAAATTCTAAATTCTAATAATCATCTTAAAAACCTTAGGGACTCGAGCCTAAACCACCGAATTCTAAATAAAACAGATCTTATATCGACAAAATTTAAGTTCCATCAGCCATATAAGATCATGGTAAGAAGCAGGGAAGAATGGACGAAGGGTAAGCCTCAACTCAATACCATAGCCTGGTACACTGACGCTTCAAAGACAGTTGGATCCGGAGTAGGTATAGGCATCAGCGAATCAAAAAGCTGCATTATGACCTTATGCTTGGGGGCCACCATTTTTCAGGCTGAAGTTCTTGAAATAAATTTCTGCCCCATTCTGAACCTTGAGAAGGGACAGAAAGGGGTATCGATAAACATTTTTGCGGCTAGTCGGGCCGCCCTAAAGATAATTTGGGCCTACACGTGTGAATTCACATTGGTCATAAAACAATAGCCTGAGAAAACTCGTCAGGGATAATGAAGTTACCCTACGGGGGATTCAAGATCATAAAGATATTGTGGATAATGAAAAGGCGAACAAGCTGGCCAAAAAGGCAGCGGGGATACCCTTTATTAAACCCCAACACGGCTGTGGACTACAAAAAAGCTACTTAAAACAGTTGATTAACATATAGGACACACACAGATGGAGACCAGAGTTCTAAATTATTATCTCTTCAACATTGGAAAAATTGAGAATCAAACATGTCGACTTTACAACGACAAGTCAGAGACAGCTGAACGTAATCTGTATGACTGTGCCGACAGAAGTTGCCTAAAATACAAAATTTTTGTATTTTAGAAACAAGACTTTGGAGCAATACTAAGGTTCAGCAAGGACCTACATCTGCCCTGATTTAAAATTAATAATTGGTTCTAATTGGATTCAACGAGAAAATAATCGTCATGAATGGAAGACAGATCTTGAAGGGGCATAAATTCGGCGAGTATATACATATAAAAGTAGTTGTTTTGGTTTAAGAGACACTTTGTATGTTGTGAGTATATGCCTTGGTTTTTAAAGTTTGTAGGAAATACAATTTTTGTTACTCTTGAATGCATTATGAATAAAGTTTATGCCTTCGATATAGATGTGTGCCCGCTTTATCTTGGCACTTAAAACGTTTTCGATGTCATTAACCTCATCTAAACTAATAAACGTTTTTTGACTTTTGATTCTATTAAACTTGAAGTTGTTTCAAAATCATTCTGTCATGATTTAAGTAGTATATAATTCTGAGAATAATGTAAAAAAATGTTTAATATATTCTATCTATACATTGTCATGAGTTTAACTTTAATTGATAAGTGATAAGTACTTCAAATAAGTGTGGAAAAATTAGTTTTGTATTAGATTTTATAGATAAGTTAAGTACATTCCGGTCACGCATTAATCATGTTTATCACTGTTTTTAAATAATTTTTATATTGATTTTTTTACCTTGCATTTTAACACGTTTATGAAGTTCATATTTATCTCTACTTGACATTTAAAGATAATTCTCGTAGTTGCTTAGTAATTTAAAATTATCACGCGTTACATTTTTACCTAACAATTAAAAATTAAAAATCACCCAATTATATTTCAACTTAATTCGCTGCTATGACAAACAATAAATAGATAGCGGTAATTCACTACTGTTTAATAGGTGCGAATAAGATAAAATTAACGTTTAGATTAGTGGTTTATTCAATCATCTATTAAATATCCGTTTTGCTTTGTTTCTCAAGGCTGCAAGAACCTTTCTCTTTTCTGAAGGAAGCGTATTTATTCATTCAAGGTGTACAACCGTTCCCTTTTTGATATTTTTTTATTTTACCACTTCGTATTAATTTTTAGTGCAAGATAGTAAACTTGTTATTAATTAATTTTTATTTTTCAATACTTACGTTGAACTGAAGTTATCCACTGTGAACGTAGATGGGTATTTATTCGAATCCTTTTGTGAAAGCTGTAAAAACAAAAATTAAAATCAAAATTTTTACTTTCCCTTTTCAAAGAAAAATACTAACATCTACGTATCATCAAAATAGATCTAAATTTCACTTTCATTTGTGTCGTTGAGTAACCGTTTATAATTGTAAGTGTTTTCGGTAGAAATTTCGATCGAAAAGTTACTTTCAAAACGTTTTGAAAGTGCCAAATAATGATACCTATATACCGTGAAAAACGGACGTTAAAAATTGTTTAAAGTAGGACAACAATAAGGTAACCTTCAAGGAGGTACGTAATTCTACTTCTTCGTTTGGATGAATTTTTTTGTGAATTAAAATGAAAGAGAAATAAAAAAAACAAGAATATTTCGTCCGAGGTTGGAGAAAATAGGAAGAAATAATTTCGTTCTTAACGTGTTAACTACCGAATCGTGAGAAAGCCGCCAATTTCCATAAATTAGATTAAGATTTTTGGCATCTAAAATTCGTTTTGAACGGCAGAATTATGGAAATTACATTACAAATTTAAAAAAAATGGAATGTTTCATTTTCAAGGAAAAAAGAAAGGTAAATAAATGAAACAATAACAATTTCTTTGCGATGAGCAATTTTCAACAAAAAAAAAATTAAAAAAATACTTAGAATTCAAGTTATTCAACAACGTAGAAACTAAGTTATTTTTAATATATGCGCAAATATGTTTAATTAAAAAATTTTCCGTCGAGGACTCGGACAATGTAATCTGAATGATTTGGATATTTAATTCAAAAATTAATTTATTTGCAATTTTTCTGTCTGATACAAGAAATTTAAAAAGGAAATTATTATTATTAAAGTTATTATTAAAGTTTCCTGTAATTTGTGTAGGAAAAAACAATTTGAAAATAATTTAGTCATTCATAAAAAGTACGAAAATTAATTGCAATCAAAATGCGGATGTAAGATAATTTTATCAAAAAGAAATAACTAAGTATTGAACCCAAAAATATTGTACACCAAATTCAAAATGAGTAATTTATTAAAGACGATAATTCGAATAGATTAAAAGAAAACTGATTGATTTATTTCCTTTTTAATGAAGATAAAGAAATGTTTAATCCTTTCAATTACAAATTTGCTAGTATTGTACAAAACAGGTACTACACCTAAAACATTCTACCATTTAATTGTTGCACTAGAATAACAACATTCTTCGTCATTGTGACAATTAATTAAATAAACTAACTAAGTAAACTGAATAATTCAATAATTAGAAAACAAAAAGAAACAAGGATAAAAAACAAAACCATAATAATAATTAAAAATAATACAAAACAATAGTAAATAATATATATAATATGTTTAATAATAAATAATTTCTTATTTTCCATAAAACAATGTTTGTTATGATTTTTTAAATCCAACTCTGCACATCTGATTGTTATAGAAATAAAATATAAATTTAAAAGAATCGTATCTCAAGAACAAGTAAAGATATCATCGTGAAATAAAGAACATTTTAAAGCAAATTTGATGAAGATTTAATGTGCCATAAATAATTTCTTATTTTCTATAAACATCGTTGTTATGATTTTTTAAATCCAACTCTGCACCTTTGATTATTATAGATATGAAATATAAATTTAAAAGAATCGTATCTCAAGAACTAGTAAAGATATCGACATGAAATAAAGATCATTTTAAAGCAAATTTGATGAAGATTTAATGTGCCATAAATAATTTATTATTTTCTATAAACATCGTTGTTATGATTTTTTAAATCCAACTCTGCACGTTTGATTATTATGAAATATAAATATAAAAGAATCATATCTTAAGAACGAGTAAAAATATCATCGTAAAATAAAGAACAGTTTAACGCAAATTTAATGAAGATTTAATGTCCCATATAATTTCTTATTTTCCATCATTATCGTTGTTATGATTTTTTAAATTCGACTCTGCATTTTTGAGTTGAGTTTTAAGAAATTATTTATGGTACATTAAATCTTCATCAAATTTGCTTTAAAATGATCTTTATTTCATGTCGATATCTTTACTAGTTCTTGAGATACGATTCTTTTAAATTTATATTTCATTTCTATAACAATCAAACGTGCAGAGTTGGATTTAACAAATCATTACAACGATGTTTATGTAAAATAAGAAATTATTTATGGTGTATTAAATCTTCATTATATTTGCTTTAAAATGTGCTTTATTTCATGATAATATCTCCATTTGTTCTTGAAATACGATATTTTCAATTTTTATTCTTAAAATCTACAATAATCAAATATGCCGAGTTGCGTTATAAAAATAATAAAAACTGTAGTTATGGAAATTATGAAATTGTTTATGGCATTTTAAACTTTTATTACAGTTGATTAAAATGTTGTTAATTTCATCATTACGTCTCAAGTAGTTCTTAAGATATGATGCTTTAGTGGATGAAAGCTAATTGATAAATCTATAAGTGTTGACTATCAACTCGTCGGCTTTCCCACTAACAACTTTTCTAATTGATTGACTTTATTTGTTATCAAAAAGTTAATCTCATTTGCAAAGTGTTTACTAATTATGATTAAAAATATCAATTTTCAGTAGAGTATGAAATCTATGTCTGAGTCACTCTAAAATGCTACTAAAGATATAGTTGCACCTTATAGATCGCGTTCACCTTTTTTTCAGGATTAAGATTGTAAAGTTTGAAACACAATAAACATGTACCGCAATGATGTCACGCTGTAAATGTGAGCAATCCAAAGACGAGGGCATCCGACTAAATAATTGTAACTCATCAACGTACATCAAGCATTGAGCGTATTTTATTACTATAAAGATATCGTTGATATAAATGTTAAATACAAGAATGATATAACATTGAGGTATAACATCGAATATGATGACTTAATAAGTCAGTTACAGTAGATTATTTGTAGTTAAATAAAGAGATACAAACAAGCAAACACAATTAAGACACTCAACTACAGTAAAGTATAATTCAAGGAGGAGAAAGCATAAATAAGCCTTTATGTAAAAAATGGTACTGGAAGAGATATCTTTAAATATCTGTAGAGCGTTAAAAGTAAATGTAAGAAAAACTCATTCATATATACAGGGAAAGCATCGAATTTAATCCTAGATAACTATTAGTAAACCAACACGCAATATAATAAAATTAGTTTGATCAATGCAAAATAATGTTTATATTAATAATATATAATATTGTAACTAAAACCCATGTAACAATAAAAAGGATATGAAACGATATGTTAAGTCAACAATTCTTTGCATGGTTGTGCTTAAATTCAATACAGATTTCTAACCAAGCACAGTGTGAATTCGAGTTACAGTGACGCAGTCTTGTTTGCGAATTTTATTACTAACATTAACATCTAAGTAAGTCTATCTATAATCAGGAATCGCACATTAACAACGACTCATAAAATTAAGATCGCATAAATTGTTGTATTAAGAAAGTAATTAAAAGTAAAGCATACTAGTTTTAAGATAAATATGAAGTTAATGCCACTGAGGTGCTCAATATTGCATAATTTGCAACAAATAAACTGATACTAAACGTACATAAAATCAGTAAGACCGTTACTTTTTGTTCTAAATCATATTTTAAATAAAGGCTTAAAATATCATCTTTAAAACTAGGTATAATAATAAATAAGTTTAATAATAAGAATATTGAGAAACAGGATATAAAAAAGTTGCAAAAAGTGTTCATTTAGTGTGTTAGTTAGAAAAACAAGAAAGGTTAAAAAAATCATTTCCGATTTATTTATGAGAGATAAAACACGTTTTTTTCTTAAATGAAAGGATAAATGTCTTCTTAAAGAGGATGTATAATAAGCGATTTGGTCATTTGAATAATTTGAATAAACATTTATGTTTAAATTAGTATTTATTGTTAAGATATTCATTTTTTAAGTCTTTTTATAATTTTATCAAGATTTCTTTAAATAAATTATTATAACGAAAAGTAAAATAGATAATAATAAGTGATAACTTTAAAAAATTGTTAAATTGAATTAAAATAACTATACATATGCATAATGTCCGCTAAAAACTCAGCGTTCACGTATTTTAAAAAAATCATATCAACTGCATTATTAAGAATCATGATATGATATGTATGTTAAATTCAAGCTTAAAAATTCTAGTTTATAATATAACATAAAAATTATAAGATAATAGGTATCCTTGAAATTTCCAGAAAAAAAATATTAAAGACGAAATTGTCTAAATTATAAATAAAAAATAACAAAAAATTTGAAAACATTATATCGTCTGTATTTTTAAGAATCATGATATGATATATATGTTAAATTGAAGCTTAGAGATTGTAGTGTAAGAAATGATATAAAAACTATAAGATAATATTATCGAAATTTCCAGGAAAAGATGGTTAAATGAAACATTCTCAATTTTATAAATAAGAAATAATAAAAATTTTCAAAAAATCATATCGACCGTATTTCTAAGAATCGTGATATCATAATATATATGTTAAATTGTTGCTTAAAGATTCTAGTTTAAGATATGATATAATAAGTATAAGATAATATTACCGAAATTACCAGGAAAATATGGTTCAAAAAGAAGTTGTTAATTTTATGAATAAAAAATAATACGAAATTTTTAAAAAATCATATTGACTATATTTTTAAGAATCATGATATGATATATATGTTAAATTGCAGCTTAGAGATTCTAGTTTCAGAAATGATATAAAAACTATAAGATAATATTATCGAAATTTCCAGGGAAAGATGGTTAAAAGAAACATTCTCAATTTTATAAATAAAAAATAATACAAAATTTTCAAATAACCATATCGACCGTATTTCTAAGAATCCTGATATCATATGTATGTTAAATTGTTGCTTAAAGATTTTACTTTAAGAAATGATATAATAACTATGAGATAATATTATCAAAATTTCTAAGAAAATATGATTCAAAAAGAAGTTGTTAATTTTATAAATAAAAAATAACACGAAATTTTCAAAAAATCATATCGACTGTATTTTTAAGAATCATGATATGATATATAAGTTAAATTGAAGCTTGGAGATTCTAGTTTAAGAAATGATATAAATACTATAAGATAATATTACCGAAATTTCTAGGAAAAGATGGTTAAAAGAATCATTCTCAATTTTATAAATATAAAATAATACAAAATTTTCAAAAAATCATATCTACCGTATTTCTAAGAATCATGATATCATATGTGTTTTAAATTATTGCTTAAAGAGTCTTGTTTAAGAAATGATATAATAAGTATAAGATAATATTATCGAAATTTCCAGGAAAAGATGGTTCAAAAAGAAATTGTCAAATTTATAAATAAAAAATAATACAAAATTTTCAAAAAATCATATCGACTGTATTTTTAAGAATCATGATACGATATATATGTTAAATTGAAGCTTGGAGATTCTAGTTTAAGAAATGATATAATAAGTATAAGATAATATTATCGAAATTTCCAGGAAAAGATGGATCAAAGAGAAATTGTCAATTTTATGAATAAAAAATAATACGATATTTTCAAAAAATCATATCGACTGTATTTTTAAGAATCATGATATGATATATAAGTTAAATTGAAGCTTGGAGATTCTAGTTTAAGAAATGATATAAATACTATAAGATAATATTACCGAAATTTCTAGGAAAAGATGGTTGAAAGAATCATTCTCAATTTTATAAATTTAAAATAATACAAAATTTTCAAAAAATCAGTTCTACCGTATTTCTAAGAATCATGATATCATATGTGTCTTAAATTATTGCTTAAAGATTCTTGTTTAAGAAATGATATAATAAGTATAAGATAATATTATCGAAATTTCCAGGAAAAGATGGTTCAAAAAGAAATTGTCAATTTTATAAATAAAAAATAATGTGAAATTTTCAAAAAATCATATCGACTGTATTTTTCAGAATCATTATATCATATATATATTAAATTGAAGCTTGGAGATTCTAGTTTAAGAAATGATATAAACACTCTAAGATAATATTATCGAAATTTCCAGGAAAAGATGGTTAAAAGTGATACAAAACTTTCAAAAAATCATATCGACCGTATTTCTAAGAATCATGATATCATATGTATCTTAAATTGTTGCTTAAATTCTAGTTTAAGAAATGATATAATAAGTATAAGATAATGTTATCGAAACTTCCAGGAAAAGATGGTTCAAAAAGAAATTGTCAATTTTATAAATAAACAATAATACGAAATTTTCAAAAAATCATAACGACTGTATTTTTAAAAGCTTAATATGATATGGATGTTAAGTTGCAGCTAAATATTTTATCATATTCTTTATGATATGATATAAAAAACTACAAGGACATAGTATTAATGAAATTTTCAGGGAAAAATTATTAAAGGAGAAATTGTTAAATTAATAAATCAAAAATGATGCGAAATTTTCAACGATTATATCGACTGTATTTTTAAGAATCATGATATCATATGTATGTTAAATTGTTGCTTAAAGATTCTAGTGTATGAAATAATATAAAGCTATACGATAATATTATTGAAATTTCAAGGAAAAAATTATTAAAGAAGAAATTGCTAACTTTATAAATCAAATATGCAAAATTATCAGTCCAATCGACTGTATTTTTAACAATCATGATATGATATGTATGTTAAATGGTAGCTTAAAAATTCTAGTTTATGATATATAAAAAAGATAAGATAAAATTATCGAATTTTCCAGGAAAAAATTATTAAATAATAAATTGTAAAATTTATAAATAAAGAATAGTACGAAATTATCAAAAAATCATTTCGACCGTATTTTTGAGAATCACCATATTTAGTTTATGGTATGATATAAAAACTATAAAATAATATTATTGACATTTTCTGGGAAAAATTATTAAATAAGAAATTATCAAATAGATTCACTATTCTTGATTAAACCCAAAATGTTTTTTCAACAAGAAAAAATAAAAAGAAAATTAAAATAACTGGAAAACCGAAAACTCTGGGTATCAACAATCCTTATACATCCCATAGACAAAATTTTAGAAACGTAGAGTTTTTGACGGACACAGTATAATATTATGTTATTAATATATAATATCACTATTCTTTTCTTTAGTTAGCATTTAGTGAAGAGATTACAATAAAATTAATCTTGTTAAATATTTTTTTGCTATAAATTTTTAATGAAATAATTCTGGGACGTAACACAGATTTAGAGTGATTAGTTTAAATGTAACATAAAATTTCAATTAATTTTTATGTTATCGAAAATAATAGCTAGATATGCTTTTTATCTCAATTTAAATCACTATTCTGTTATAAATTACAATAATATTTATTATTTATCTATTTCGTTATCGATTATGAGAAACTTTTTAATTATATTTAATTGTGATGTCTATTTTTTAAAAAAACATGAGGATGAACAATGGTTAGTCAAACGATATTATAACGTTTTAGAAAAATTGTAGTTAAAAAAAGTATATAAAAAAAATAGTTTAAAAAATTTGGTTCCATACAAGAATATATATTTATATTATTATATAATAAAATAGTTTAAAAAATAGGGAAACTTACCGACATCTTAGCATTGATTTTTGAAAATTTTTTTAATAAAAATTTCAAATATTAAATAAAAACCAAAAACTTAAAGAAACCAAACCACAAAGTTTTCTATATATTTTTTGTTCACCACCGTATAAATCTGTAAATCTCGAATTTCTCCCCCTCGATATCGATAGAAAATTGTATCGATTGAAGTTGGAGAAGCGAGTGAGACTGAGTGACTCTCACCGAGCACGACGACGACAAAACGCGTTTGTGAGAGTCGATTTCGTTTCGGTTTATATTTGAACGGAATCGCACAAGTTACTAAATTTGCTATTGCACCTGCAATAGTTTATATGGACATTGGATAAAAAGCGGGGGGACAACGGCTAAAGTGGGGAGAGAAATGAAATTTGTGGGGCCACATTCAATCATCAATCATATCCAAATTTTAATATATTCAGAAAAAAATATTTATTTAAAAAAATTAGGATAATCGAAAACTTGATAAATAATTATATTTGAGATTTAGTTAGAGATATATGATTATTATCAAAATACACAAAGGAGTCTAACAAAAAGTTAAACAAACGTTTTACAAAAAATGGTGTTAAATTCCTCAGTTAATATCAATTCATTCATTAGTTTTACTATTAAGTAAAAGTAATTAACTTGATGAATTTGATACGTTCATTTTTTGATGTCATCCGTCGTGGTGCATCCTAAAAATGTTAATGAGTCAGATACGTAAGGAAGTTTAATCAATTTTAAAGAAAAGCTCAAGGATACATCGTCAAGGTCGTTACGTCAAGTTTTACCAAGGTCGGTACGGTATGGGTCAAGAGCCAATCGGGTTCATTTATAATTTTTTACTTTCTCTCATATACAAAGTACAAAATAAAAAGTGCAAAGTCGAATATGAGGTACCAGATAGTTTAGTTCTATGGCTATTTAGCAAGTATAATTGACCAAGAAAAATGTTATGCACGAAAATTGTTTATATTGACCTAATAAAGCATAATCCATAACAAAGTTTAAAAACAGTTTTGTATTACTAATTGATATGCAAATTTTAAATAAGAAATTCATGGATATGTCTTTATAGGAAGAAATCGTTGATTCCATGCTGTGACAATAGTGCAAAATTGATCATTGCTCTTTATTTTTTCTCGATCCACACTTAGCATCCTCAATCGCTGGCCATATCTTTACTCTCCTCAGTATGATAAAACTTCGTTCAAGAGAATAAGTCGTTGCCAAAAAAGTCATAAAAGTAATGTTTATCTTAGCTACTGCCCAAAAAAATCTGTAAAATTTGCTTCCTTTGTTGATGTTGTAATTATGTGTCAGCTTCTTCAGAAAGATTTCTTATTAAATAACTTTTTTCGAGATATTGTATCAAATGATCACGCTTTCTAAGATTAATCATTGGGTTCACTACTTAGTTCTGTAAAAAAATTTTGTTCAGAAACATAAACAGCTGCCCCGATACACAAGACGGATTTTTCGACTACGACTTACGAAAAGGAATATGAATCACTAATTGGATACGTGGAAAATACGGACGCTAACTAAACCAGGTACTCAAACAGCATTAATAGAGGAATTAGGAAAATATGGATTGATGGTCACAGCAATTCAGGAAACGAGAAATCAAATACATCCTTATGTACCATGTCCTTATAGATAAAAGAGCAGCTATTATCATATTAGATGTTAAATTATGTAGAGGGGCGTGCTGCTGATATAGAAACAACGAAAATCGAGGAAAAAGAAAAAACTTACCGGAAATTAAAGAAAGGTTAGAAAATACAAGAATCAATGCAAGAAGGGCAACCATATCAACCAGTAAAGGATCACTGGAAAGCAATTAAAGCAGCAATTGTAACAATAGAGGAAGAATGCAGCCTGGTATGATGAAGAATATAGAAAGGCCAAACAAAAGGCAAGATGTAAATCTGAGTGCTGAGGGCAAAGAAAGAAAATCGAACAAGAAATTAAATCACAAAAGAATAACAAAGCACCAGAAATAGATGAAAGTATGTGGGTGGAAGAGGGAGTCCTCGAGAACTGGAAAAAGGTGTTATATGCTCTATCTATAAAAAGGGAGACAAACTATAATGTAACAGATATGTTTAAACTCTTGAAAAGTTTGAAACAATGTCTTGAATACATGTAAGACAGATAGACGTAGGAAAGGACAATAAGACCCAACAATGGATTGCTTACGCAAATAAGAGTAATATCACACCAAACGTATTGGCCTGAAAACTAATAAGAATAAAACACAAATACAAAAAAGGGTAACGGAGCTAAATAAAAAATGCTTAATAAGTTCGAAAGAAGGAATTTGCTTCACTCTCAGAATTTATCAGACTGCCACGGTTATAGTAGGTGGGATATGTAGCGAGAATGGAGGGAGAGAGGTTGCAAAATAGGATTTCGAACAACCGAATGTACGAGAAAAGACCAGTGAGATAATCTCGGGAAAATAGGGAATATGAAATGTAGAATAAGTGCGCTAGGCCCAGAAATGTAACATCGGGATGCCCTAATTGCGGTGAACGTCAATTGGACAACTATCTATTGTGTTCAGTGGCAAGGCAGTTGCAGAAACGACGAAAAAACAGGCAATGTGCAACAAGCACCAAAAAGTAAGGTTTATTCTGCTAAATAAGTGTCCAGCAAACTATATTATATGGACAACTTTTGGAGTTGAAAATGAATCATCTGTTCTGTAAATGATATAGACTCGTGTACATAGAAGAGAAACGAGCGCTATACAGCGAAATACTTCTACTCATGAGCAAAAACAACCCTAGAATCGCCATTTAGAACGCTAACGATTATCTGTTACGTGAGATGTTATTGTTTCCTGTCATTTCGAATATTCGAAAAGTTTTTGTTGAAGAGATTAAAACACAATTGATTCCAGACCACCAGTTTGGATTTCGCAACCAACATCCCACCATTGATCAGGTTCACAGGATTACAGATCAAATCGAGAAGACTCTAGGATTATGATAAGAAGAACACGTGTAGAAAAAAACGCAAGGAATTAGCTAGCCTCATAAAGATAATTAAGTAATTTTATATGCACGGTTTCTTACGTGGCCAGAAAGTCCAAAAATAATGTTGGATTTTTTTATATCTCTACCAACGTCGATGAATGCGATCGAATGCGATAAGAATGCTACGTGTTTTACGAAAGATGCAAATCACCATGTTAGTAGAGTTCTGCGCTAACTTATTTTACGGGGAATTGAAAATCCCCTTTCTATGAATCAAAAATAATTTTATTTAGAGGATGCTTAATAAAATTTGTATGCAAACTAGATTCCCATAAAAATTTGACTTTTAAATTAACAAATTTTAAAGTTTCGAAGTGATATTAGTCTAGGAATGATCGTAATTGCAAGTTAATTCAAGCAAATTTGTTGAACATTTGTTGAAATTTTTTTTATTGACGCCCGATTGAAGAAAAACATTTATTTTTACCGGAATATAATTTGCATCATGGAAATAAAAATTGTGTTCATCTGCAGATCTCAAACATAAATCTTCTTGCATCTTTTGTTTCTTACCACGAAGCAGAACTGAAATTCTACAGCAAAAAAGTTTACGAATTTGATGGTGTTATGATACAATTTTTTTAATTTAAGATTAGAAGAATTAGAAGAATATTTCTGAGTCAATAACGTTTTTTACCCTCATAACTAAATTGCATTATTTAGAAAAATAATGAGGATGGTGTTAGGTTGATTTGCAATCGGCGACTCTTTGGGTATTGCTGTTTCATACTCTGACCAAGGTTCAGTCCATGAGGTTCCTTATAGTTGCTTGGATACACAAGATTTGTATCGAAAAGACATTGTGGTCCGATTTTGAAGCCGTGATTATTATTCGTAATCGACTAACAGGTCGTTTATCTTGCGTTTATTGTTGTAATTATAAATTGGTTCTTCATTATCAAACATTTTACTCAAACCAACAAGATACTCTATGGAAACGTTTAAACACAACAAATACGTTTAACTAAGGCAGTAACGAATCTTGATTCATTTTAACAAGAAGCTCTAGTACTACCAATTAGTTTTAATTTTATTTTTCCACATTCATTTGAACTCTTTTACTGAGAACCGGTAAGCTTGTTTGTTAGTGGTAAGATGTCCATAGTTGTACAAAATTAGACGATCTATGTATAATAATTTAGTTCCACCCATTAAATTTTTTGACACTCCAACCGGATTCATTTCATCATTCAGAGGACCATTCATAGAACGTTTAATTTACTTAATATTGTAGATCGTTTCCACGTCCGGCACCTCCACCCCTTTTACTCGATCGATTTAACATATTCTCTTTATATAATCTCAATCAACTTAATTACCATACTAATACCTTTCAAAATGCTCTTATTGAATATTTGCTATTTTTAGTATATAGCCTATATCATTAAGCACACTTCCTTTAGTGTTTAAAGATTGCGCATACACCACACGCATCAATATTAAGGTAAAACTATATTAGGTTTAATTTTAGAAAAGATAATTTATTTCTCATTGACATATTAAAAAGGAACCAATTTGTATTGTTCAGAATTTCCAAAATCGAAGTACAATTAGCGAAGAAGCAGCTATATATTTTTGTTCATGTCGAAGCTTTCTTAAATCCCTCTTAAATCCCGGGCGTTTGATGAAGACTAGAATAATTAATATTGGCGTCATACTACTTTAGATGCTGAGAATTCCATCATCTCTGCAAGAGACTCTAAAGCAACTGATATATCAGAACTGTGGTATAGATATAGACATCTGTCTAATAATAGGGTATACAAAACAGGATGAATTACTAACTCTTCAACAATAGGCAAGCTAAGGATCAAACTTGTCGATTTTGCGAGGACAAGTCAGAGGTCGCCTAAGACACAACATTTTCGGAAACATCTGCCCTATATGTTTTGGAGGGCGTAAGTTACAATAGATCTTATAGGTCGTGGTGACGAGAGGGGCCGCGAGTGAGCTAAGTTCACAACACTTGAATGAGACATAGTTTGTCCTCACTTCGCCGAACTCACTTGCGGACGTGGCGCTAAGTTTATACTAGCTTACTGTTATACTAGCTGTAATATAATTACTAGAGACCGGATAAAAAAGTGTAAAAAAACTGGAAAAAAGTGCTTTAAAAAGCATGAAAATCTTAAACAAAAAGTTCTTAAAAGGCACACAATCTGTTAAAAAAGCATAGAATAAACAAAATTAAGCAAAAAACGATAATAGAGAAAAAATAAATAAAAATTTGTTATAATGATGATAATAATATATTTAATATTTATATTTTACAATTTATTGCGTTTACATAATGAATATCTATCTGCTATTATACAATGCTTAAAAGATTTCTTAATTAATGCTTAAAAGAATGAATAACTAAATGTTTCTCCAAGTTTTCCATGCTAAAATTATGTCTCCTGTCTGTTAGAATGTTTTTGTATGTAGAAAAACTACGTTCAACATCTACACTTGTTATTGGTGCATATTTAAATTTTGGTATAATCGCTGGATCTATTTCAAAATCGCAATGTTCTGCACCATTTAGAATAGTAGATATTTTGTACAATGTCTGGAATCCTTCATTCTTTGAGAGAGTTTGAATCACTTTTTCTTTTACTATTTGACCAATAGATCCTGGGACACTATTTGCTGCCGCTTCAAAATTTTTTATAATATTTACGGATTCTACTAAGGGTAGCTGCTGTTTTTCTAAAAATTGAATACACTGACTTACAAATTTAAAATGACTTTTAATAAAAGCCAATTGTTGTGCAAGTTCGGGTATTTTTAGAACTCTCTGACATTCTTCAATAGATTTGCTTTCTGTACTTTGAAATTCAAGTATTATGCCTTGAAATTCTTTAAAATGATCGGCATAGTACATGGCAGCATCTAGCCAAGTTCCCCATCTTGTTAAAACTGGTGCTGGGGGTAGAGGAATGTCAGGCAATGTCTCTTTAAACAATTGCACTCTCAATGGAGCTTTCATAAATATTTGTTTACCATTTTTTATTAGTGTATTTACCATCGGATACTGCAATCTTATAGTTTCAGCTATGCGGTTGAGTCCATGAGCTAAACAGGTGCAATGTATTAAATTGTAATAGAAAATTTTTATATTTGACGCAGCTTTTATCATGTAAGCTGCAGCGTCGGAAAGCATTAATAAAATTTTTTCATTTGGAACTGCCTCGAGCAAAAAAATCTTGTTTAACTCGTCGTGAACAAATCTAGAAATCGTATTACTATTCGTTTTTGTTAATTCTTTTGAACTTATTAAAAAACCCTCTGTTACAACATCTTCATTCAAAACTCCTATAATAAGGTTGGCTACATATCTCCCACACGTATCAGTAGTTTCATCTACTGCGAACCATATATAGTTATTTGCAATATATTTTTTAATTTGTTGCATAGTTTCATCATAAACTGGGGCGACATAGTTCTTACGGAGAGTGCTTTCATCTGGGATATTTTTTTTGCAATATTTCTCTAGAAATTCTCTAAAAGACCTACTTTGTAATTTATTCAAGGGAATATCTGATTTAATCATAGCACTACACAAATCAAAATTAAAGTGTTTTTGTTCATTGAAACCAGAAGTTGAAGCTATTGAAGTCGAAATAGTGTGTTGCTTATTTTTATTTTCCTCGATTTTTTTAATGTGCTCCTTATGCCGGTCAGTTTTCAAATGTTGAGTAATATCATATTTTTTGTTACAGACGATCTGCAATAAAGTAAGCGAGTAGTTTATTAAAACTAAAGTCCATACGACGTAAGGTTATGTTCTTGATTAAAACATATTTTGTTAAGGATTTTATTCACATTTTAAAGACATTAAGAACGCCCCGTAAGAGCCATCAAAATAAAATGACGTTTTAAACAGTTAAGAAAAGACGAAGTAATGTTGAATTCGCAAATTTGTACTTACAGTTTTAGAACATGCTTGACAAAAAATCTTTTTATTGTCAATTTTCAATTCTTTGTGGCCTCTAATCCACTCTTCTACGATTGATTTATATTTTGGCATTTTGCAAATAAGTACCACGCACAGCTTCACATAACAGAACACCGCGAAGCTAACTACACACGTCTTAGAATACGACACTATATAACGTAAACAGAGATATCGGAAACTTCGGGGAATCACGCGACTCTTTACACAGTTGCCATTTTTACCAATTTATTATATTGTATTATTCTTAAAAATGATATAAACATGCATAAAAAGTTAAAAATAAGCACAAAATAAAAAAAAAGCATAAAATCTCAAAAAAAGCAAAAAAAAAGCATTAAAGAATATGTCGCAACATACTTAATTTTATATCTCATATTTGCTTATAAAATTGAGCAATAAGCATAATGCTTAAAATCCGGTCTCTAATAATTACATATTTAGCTCATCGTCCGCAGCAACCTCGGCGATAATCGATAATAGATGATATCGTTCATTTGATGTCTTGGAAAATAAACTTAGCTCACAACACTTAAATGAGAAGTTGATGATTATTGTTTCGTCAAGATCGGATTCGGACGAGGCATTGGAGTCGAAATGCTAGCTTTATACTAGCTTTATAGTGATATAATTATACACTAATTGAACTAATTAAACATTCTGTCCGCCTAAAAGAGAAGGAAGAATTAATTACATATTACTCATGAAGCTATTGTCTTTTCTTTCTTTTTATAATGTATTCTTGATCTTCATTTACTACTTCCATCCTGATTTCGGGATGTTGTGCCTTTGGATCCTCTTTTATGTAGTTTGGAGTATCGTTATATACTTGTTGTAGTTGCAGGTAATACTTGATGTGTAATACGAATGGTTGGGTATTTTTTTGGGTTCCATTGTGTCCTCATTTTTGTCAATCTTCTTCCAAAGTGATTCGAGTGGGTAGACGCTTTTGTATGTAATCTGGTGTCTTTCGGTACTTGTGATATTAATGTGTAACTTTGTTGATATTTTGACCGATTTTTTGATTTTAAGCATATTGGTTTAATGCCTCCATGATGAAGGAAAAGAGTAAGGTTTTATTTATTTATTTTTATTTATTATTTGTTTGCAATGAAGGATAGCTTCGTTAGTGAGAGCAGCCTCACTCTTTAATTTGGCCTGCTCCTTAACAATGTGGATAATTCGCTACTGAAAGCAGCCTCACTCTCTGTTTTATGGCTTGGTCCGTAGCGAGGAACGGAAAACTATACGTTGTATAGTCAAGGATAAAAATTACTTCTAATAGCACCTCACTCCCAAATTGTAGTATTTCAAAAACGAATTTGCATCTTTTTGAGAATAACTCTAAAACGATGCGTCTAATCAAAAATTTCTTTGTTTAAAATTTGTTTATTCAAACACTAACATCTCAAAACATGTACTAATAAACAACCACGAAATTTGGTGATATGGGCATATCTTGATTAATACTAATAACCCGATTTCTCTAATGAAACGATATCTACAAGTGTTGAAATTAATTCCTAAGAATGCTGGAATTTCGAGTGGAGATTTTGTCGGAATTATATTTTATATCGATTGGTGTTTTATGATTAGAGGATTTTGAATTAGATTTTTTTGAACTGTATTTATGAACAGGATTTGTAGATTAGTCAATATATGTAATCGATTTAAAAGGAATTAGATTTTTAATCTGTGGGAGCTTATAGATTAATTTAATCACGCTTCTCAGTATTGCCAATTTTTTGATCTTATAGATAGATATTATTTTTCCAAAAAGATAATTAGTAATAAAACTGAAAATTATCAAGCATTGATTTCTTTTATTATATCTTATTATTTCTTTTAAATGATCTGTATATATGGAACAATTAATATTATAATTAACCTGGAATATTAATTAAATCCTATTTGGATACTATGTTAGACCGTATAAAGAAACAGCAATCAAGAAAAGTAGCTTACTTTAGAATGTACTTTTGGTATTTCTGAATTAATTGTATTTAATCCTTTTTAAACATAATCCATTTCATTTATTAATCTTGTGAAGATTAATGTGTATTATTTTAAAGGTCAGCAAATTTTGGGATTAATATAGGATTAATACAGCTATTCTCATGTGATCTTTATAAGTCTGAATTGAGACAAAAAAAACATTTTAAATTTATATCGTGGTTTTTGTCGTAATGAAATGAATTAAATGATAAAATAATATTTTACAAGCATATTGTGCAATACTTCTTTGTGTATTGAGTTTTCCATTATTACTTGTATCTAATTCAACTTTATTTTGAAGTCAAAGAATTTATTATTTAAGTATTATTATTGGTGGCTTTTACTGCAAGCTAATTACACTTGATAATGTATATTATTAAGTATTATTACGTATCATTATTGTTACATTAACACAAATAACGCAACAATATAAAGTATTTCAGGATTGTCCCACCATAATATACAATGACCTAAAAAATTTTTGTTATAAACAAAATATATATAAAAAGTTCATATCAAATGTTCTCAAGGTGATAAAGTTAACGCAAGAAGTTTTAAGGTAATCTGGTTTTCTCATCATAACAACAAAAATTTTATTACATAATAATATGGTTTTTATGCAAAATTATAACAATGAAATACTAAAGAGAATTAATTTCTAATTATTCAAGAAAATATCCACTAACATAAACTAAAAAGTACAAAGGCTTTCACGGCCGGAGTTAATTAAACTAAAACTAGACTTAGAATTAGAAACTTTCGGCTTAAGCCGTGCGTTTTTTTGAAAAAATGTTTAACGGTTCGAATGCCATGTTGCAACCTTCTTCAGAAGCAATTTGGAAATGTCATTTCAAAAACAGTTAAACATTTTTCAACAAACGCACGGCTTAACCCGAAAGTTTAAGAAACCAAGAATTTCTAGTTCTAGGTCTAGAACTAGAAACGGTGTTAGTTCTAGTGGTAATGCTAGTGTTAGTTCTAGTTTTAATTTAATAAACTAAAAAACCGTAAAATACTAACTTTTAATAATAATAATAATAAACTACATAGATAACATAAATCTCCTTAAATTATGTGGTGACTTAGTCATTGCGTTACTTCTCGGATTGCAGCTGGTTTTACAAAGTATTGTTGCTTTTTATGTGAGTGGTACAGCAGAGATCGAAACAATCATTACCGCAAGAAAGACCAAAGCGTGAGTGCCTCACTTCTGGGAATAAAAATGTTTTACACCCTCCTCTTGTCGAGCCCACCTCTTGTACATCTAATACTAGGCCTGATAACAAAATTTGACAAAGCCATGGATCGCAACGGTTCAGGTTTTATGTACTTGAAAGAAAAGTTTCCTAAAGTTAGTGACTCTAATATAAAGGAAAGAATTTTCGTCGGATCTCAAATCAGGGAATTGTTCAAAGATAACATATTTGAAGAAAAGTTGAGTCCGTTAGAGAAATCTGCTTAGAAAAGTTTTAAAAATGTCGTGCAAAATTTTTTGGGCAACCAAAAAGCAAGTAACTACAAAGATCTGATGGAGGAACTACTTTCGACGTATCAAGCGTTGGGTTGTAATATGTCACACAAAATTCACTTTTTATGCTGGCACCTCGACTTCTTTCTGAGAACCTAGGAGACGTCAGCGAGAGAACATGAAAAAAGGTTCCATCAGGATATTTCCAGCATGGAAAAACGATACCAAGGCAAATGGAGTCCTCGTATGTTGGGAGATTTTTGTTGGGCGCTTGCAAGAGATCAGCCTCAAGCCAAATACTCCAGAAAATCATAATTTTTAGTTTTAAAAAACATATTTTCAAGTTGTAGCTCATATAAAGTCTCAGTATTTTTTACAAAATATAAATTTTCTGTCACAAGAGAAATATGAGTGTCAAAATTTTTCTACACCTGTTTTTTACCTTAAGGAGTCTAAATGTAGTCAAAAATGTCAAAAAAGTGCATGTGACAAATTAAAAGTTTATTTTTGTCGATCTAGTTTTTCAATCTTTTATGAAAAACTAGAACGTGTATATCAACAATGCCCCAGAAATGATATAAAAATAATATTGGGTGATATTAATGCAAAAGCAGGCCGAGAAAATATCTACAGACCAACAATAGGACTTAGAGAAGCCAACATCGACTCCGACCACTGTACATAATATAGTTGCAGGTACTCTTAGAGCTCGAATGTATAATGCAAGAAGACGTAACTAAAAACGTGACGACAAAGATAACGAGATTTAAAATCGGAAAACGAAAAATTTTGAAATATCGAAGACATTTATACTTTGATAAAGCAACACCAATTGAAAGCGTGGAAAAGGAAACCAAGAAAACAGCAAAATAATTGGTTCGACGAAGAATACAAGCGAGAAGAATTAGAGTTAACATTAAAGAACTGTACCACCTGCAGTTGAAGAAATGAGAGAAGTCCTTCAATATATAGCAAATAATCTTCATGATCTGACAGTTTACTGGCGTAACTTATTAAACACAGCGGCCAGACATTTACAATACACTTCTACGAACTGTTAACACAAATATGGCAGGAACACAGAATACCAGAGAAATGGAACACTGGAACTATATGCCCAATACACTAAAAGGGAGATATACATGACTGCGCTAACTATAGAGGAATAATTCTGCTGAATACAGCATATAAAACCTTGTTGGTAATACTTTTAATAAAGGACTGATACCCTATGTGAAAAACATAACTCCACAATTGATCACATTTCGTATATTCATATTCATATTCTTTATTTATCTGCTGATACAAAGTCGAGCACAAAAGCCAAAACAAAAAACAAGCATTCTTACAAAAAAGGCTTACATCTAACACAAAAAACAGTACTAATCGAATGTGTCCAATTCATTACAATTTAAATATTCATCTATATTATAGAAACATTTTACTAGTAATAGGCTGTTTACGTATATGTGAAACTTCTTAGGAGTTACATCTTCGACATGTTGTGGCAATTTATTATACATCCTCGTACCCTGGAAATCTACTCCCTGCTGCGTTAATTTGAGTTTATGTGATGGCAATTC